CGCACAGGAGGTTAGGGCCAGGGGGGCGTGCGTGGCGCCATGCATGCATTCTCTTTGAGACTCGCGCCGGCGAGAAAGGCTGCTGCTGCCAGTATAGTACGTCCGCCACTTTAGCGCCGACGCTGTGATCCTTGCCGGGCTATGGCCTGGCCCTACAAACGAAGCGAGCAGGCTTAACAGACCGGGGCCTCGCGCCCGTATACGTCACTTGCACTGAAAAGCCTCTCCTTCCTGGTGCTTTCATTTTACTTCGTTTGACGCCTGGTGCGGTTCCCCAAGCCTGCTGCTGGGCAAAACCTCTCAAATAGCTGTCCAAAAATGTTTACTTGACGTCAGCGTTTGTCCAAGCACATGTTCATGTGAGTGAAAAGGTTCAAAGCGCTATTCTACTCCACGACGCGGGGACGTTGGTCTTCGAGCAACGCACTTGGCGTTTTACCGGCGTCAGCGGAGGTAGTGGGCCAACCACCGTTCGCCCCTGATGTGCTCGGCTCTGAGCATAAGGCGTTTTCTTTCGGGTGTCACATCGCGCGCACGGGTGCGCATGCGCGCGCGCTGCTCTGCCTCCCCCACCACACACGCGTGCGCCTAAACGCTCTCATAAAAGCAATATGTTTGTACACTGCGCACAACAATTGGTCGCGCGACGCAGCCCGGCCGGCCCGCGCTCGTCCGCACGCTCGCCTGCCCTCCGAACGACTGGCATAAAAGTTGTGGGTGCGCCCCGCCCCGCCCTGCCCCGCGCGTATGGCGTGGCTCGCCGCAGTGCAGTGCTGTGCTGGTGTGCCTAACTTGGTCGAATGGGCGCGTTGGTATTGGGTTGGGGCGGTCGTCGAAATAAAATTAGGAACGACCGCCGGGCCTTTCTCGCTCGGGGAGAGAGAGAGAGAGAGAGAGAGAGAGAGAGAGAGAGAGAGAGAGAGAGAGAGAGAGAGACGAAGTGGGAGAGAGACGAAGTGGGAGAGAGACGAAGTGGGAGAGAGTTACCAATCGTCCTCACCAGCTTTAAGAGGATGCGACGTGCAAAGGCGTAACCACGAGTAAAAAAAAACTCGTGGAGGGGGGAGGGGGTGCTTGTCAGAGCTCTGGAAAAGTCGCCTATTCGACCGACCGAGCTGACCAGGACGCGGTCGGCGCCGACCGGCTGCAGGCACACTCTAAAAAAAATTAATACAAAAATTTGTAATTTGGATATGCAGTTTTTTCAGCATCCATGATACAAAAAATTGTATTCTTTTGGATATAAAAATAAATTTGTAACGTGGATACAAAAATTTGTACCCATTGATACAGAATAAAACATTTTGTTGTATGGTCTGACACATAAGAAAAAGAGATTTTTTTCTCTTGGATGTCTTATTCTAGACGTTTCACTCTCATGACAGACGATTAACTTCAATGTAGTACTTTACCTTACCGGGATTTGAACCCTGAACCTCTGGGTCGGGATTTGACGCCCTAGACCACGCGGCTAAGGCGACTACCTGCGAGCAGTCGTGCTCCGACCCGGTGTCGTTCTCACCCGTCTACTGGTTTGCCCCAGAGCCTTTCCCATAGCCATCGAGCTTTCAGATGACAATTCTATGTTAATGCTTTACTGGAACAGATTTTATTTTCCATGTTGCTGCAGTCAGTCTAACAGCTACTCGAATCGTGTCCAATTTGAACGTTAAATCGGCGAATCTTTGAACGTAAATATAGATTTCTGTTTCCATGTTACAGAAATTTGTATTCCGGTTACAGAAATTTGTAATCCGAATTCTAAAACTTTTAAAATAATATTAAATTTTGAAATAAATGTAGAATTTTGTATTGTTTACAAATTTTAAAAGACTATTACAAGATTCTGTATCATCATTACGAATTTCTCTATCACAGTGCCCGGATACAGAAAACTATATCAAATTTGATACAAAAATCTGTAATTTTTTTTAGAGTGCAGGTAATATAAGGGGTGAGGAGAGGAGCTCCCTCGCTGTCCCCTCTCACCCCTCACCTGCAAGTAAGTGGTCGGTCGAAGGCGACTTCTGCATGGCTCTGGTAGTTTGTGTGCACTGCTTGCATGAGTAACTACTCCTCGACTTTTGTATTACGCGCCGATGGGACCTATCATTGGCTTACGGAGTAGATCTGCCGCCAGGTCAGTTATTTTTGTTTCCGTCTTTGCACTGCGTCGGCGCGACTGGAACGGCACACGTCGACGGCCGGCGGGATGTGCAGGAGGATTTCCAATTCAAGTGGGTAGCTGGCTGGGCTGCTGCAGCGGTGCCGGCGGATGCGGGTGGCCGAGAGAGAGGGGGGGGGGGAGTCACAGAGCGCGTGGGTGGTAAAAGTTCAAAAGGTAGAGAAAAAAGAAGGCGCGGTAAAACGGGGAATTACAAAAAATAAGTCGCAATGAAGTTAAATTAAAATAGGAGTAGCAGGAAGTAGAAGTAGGGCAAAATACCTGCGGAGCAGGGGGTGGTGTTTCAGCTCGCATTTTGGGAGGCGAGGAAAGGAAGAGGGGGGGGGGCGTTGGGATGAGGGGGGAGATGAACGACCAGCAGGCATGAAACCATTTATACTTTCGTGATTAGAGATGAAGAGGCGAGGAGAGAGTTCGGTGCGGCTGGGAGTGCGCCCGCGCCGCTCCCGCCGAGGGTCAACATATTTCAAAGGAGCCATCACCATCACCATTAACTTCGAAGGAAGGAAAAGGGCTTCCCGGCCGCTCACGGGGAGTGAGGAGGCAGGGCAATCTTAATCTGTTTGTCCGAAATGCCGCGAGCACCGTGCCGACGTGATGCACAATTTGAAACTACCGTTTCTCTTTGGTCTGCTTGCTTTTACTTTTTCTTCGTGTTTTTGATTGTAGTATCTGAGTATCTCTGCTATTTATTTCTGCCGACCTCGATTTTTTGCGTTCCTTTTCTTTTATGTCGATGATCGAAGTAATTTGTACTATATCGTATGTTTTTATTTTTTATGCTTAAATGAGGAATTGTACTTGCATCGTATTTTCTGCAGTACTGTATAGTTTGTCTCCCACAACCCCACCGCACACACGACGGATTGACCTTTTGATCGGCACCTTGTAGTTACCGCTGAGGCCTTTGCATTCCCCGGGGGAGGCCGTCGGGCCGTCGGGGAGCGCGGTAGTAAAGGAAAGGGTGTGGGGGGGGGGGCGGTGGTGGTAAGCACACCCCGACCCCTTCTGGGTGGCGTAGCGTAGCGCGGCCGGGCCTAGGAGGAGAAGAGGAGACGGAAGTTGGAGAGCTGGTGCGTGCGCGCCCAAGTCCAGTCGTAACGCGGGAGAGTAGACGGGGGTGGGGAGAGCGGGCAACACGAGAGAGGGAAGGAGGGAGGTGTGCTCACCTATGAGCGCGAGTCTCCTTGTCCTTTTTGGCGCCGGGGCTGTGAGATAACGCGTGGCCGGGCGCGGCGCGCACCTGGGATTTCTTTTATAGCGACCTGGTTTCGCTTCATTTGTTTGCACACACCACGCCTTTCTCTTTCGCTCTCGGGGGGGATAGGTTTGGCTTTAGGGAGGGGGCTGGGGAGGGTGAGGGGCTGTAACGTGTACCCGCCGCCCCACTCACGGACCGTCCCGGGGGTCAAGCAGGCTAGGCAGGTAACCCAACGACCTTGCTTTGTTCGGCGCTGC